TATCAATCTATGTCTATCGCTATCAACCTCTCTCTCTCTCTAGTTCTCGCTATCAACCTCTGTCTATCTCTCGCTGTCAACCTCTGTATATCTATCGCTATCAACCTCTGTCTATCTCTCGCTATCAACCTCTGTCTATCTCTCGCTATCAACCTCTGTCTGTCTGCCGCTATCAACCTCTTTCTATCTCTCGCTATCAACCTCTGTCTATCTGTCGCTATCAACCTCTGTCTGTCTCTCGCTATCAATCCTCTTTCTATCTCTCGCTATCAACCTCTGTCTATCTCTCGCTATCAACCTCTGTCTATCTCTCGCTATCAACCTCTTTCTATCTCTCGCTATCAACCTCTGTCTATCTCTCGCTATCAACCTCTGTCTATCTCTCGCTATCAACCTCTGTCTATCTTTCGCTATCAACCTCTGTCTATCTCTCGCTATCAACCTCTGTCTATCTCTCGCTATCAACCTCTGTCTATCTCTCGCTATCAGCCTATGTCTATCTCTCGTTATATCTCAGGTGGCTGAGAGATCTCGCTATCTGAGAGATCTCGCTCTGTATATCTCTCGCTATCAACCAATGTCTATCTCTCGCTATCAACCTATGTCTATCTCTCGCTATCAACCTCTATCTCTCGCTATCAACCTCTATCTCTCGCTATCAACCTATGTCTATCTCTTGCTATCTCCGGTGGCTGAGAGATCTCACTCCTAAACACCTGGCAGTCAAGGAAATTAAGTATGATCAAACTTTACTAAAGATTAATTAACGACGGGCGTGTTCTAATTGGCCAAACCACATATGTCGTTAAGTTAATATGTGTTATGCAGACGATGAGTCACAATAACGGGGCTGAAGACATGATGACCAAACTACTCATCAGAAGGTGATGAGACGACGACGTTTCGGTCCGTCGTGGACCGTTAGGCTGACAGGCGACTTGATAACGGTCCAGGACGGACCGAAACGTCGCCGTTTCTCCATCTTCTGATGGGGTGGTTCGGTCATCTTAGTATGTATTAGCTTAAGTTAGGGCAGGTTAAGTTAGGTGGAACTAAGTTAGGTTAGGTGGAGCTAAGTTAGGTTAGTTGGAACTAATAAAGTTAGGTTAGTTGGAACTAATAAAGTTAGGTTAGTTGGAACTAAGGTAGGTTAGGTGGAGCTAAGTTAGGTTAGGTGGAACTAAGTTAGGTTAGTTGGAACTAAGTTAGGTTAGTTGGAACTAAGTTAGGCTAGTTGGAACTAAGTTAGGTTAGTTGGAACTAAGTTAGGTTAGTTGGAACTAAGTTAGGTTAGTTGGAACTAAGTTAGGTTAGGTGGAACTAGTTAGGTTAGTTGGAGCTAAGTTAGGCTAGTTGGAACTAAGGTAGGTTAGGTGGAGCTAAGTTAGGTTAGTTGGAAGTAAGTTAGTTGGAACTAAGTTAGGTTAGTTGGAACTAAGTTAGGTTAGTTGGAACTAAGTTAGGCTAGTTGGAACTAAGTTAGGTTAGTTGGAACTAAGTTAGGTTAGTTGGAACTAAGTTAGGTTAGTTGGAACTAAGTTAGGTTAGGTGGAACTAAGTTAGGTTAGTTGGAGCTAAGTTAGGCTAGTTGGAACTAAGGTAGGTTAGGTGGAGCTAAGTTAGGTTAGTTGGAAGTAAGTTAGTTGGAACTAAGTTAGGTTAGTTGGAAGTAAGTTAGTTGGAACTAAGTTAGGTTAGTTGGAAGTAAGTTAGTTGGAACTAAGTTAGGTTAGTTGGAACTAAGTTAGGTTAGTTGGAGCTAAGTTAGGTTAGGTGGAACTAAGTTAGGTTAGTTGGAGCTAAGTTAGGCTAGTTGGAACTAAGGTAGGTTAGGTGGAGCTAAGTTAGGTTAGTTGGAACTAAGTTAGTTGGAACTAAGTTAGGTTAGTTGGAACTAAGTTAGTTGGAACTAAGTTAGTTGGAACTAAGTTAGGTTAGTTGGAACTAAGTTAGGTTAGTTGGAACTAAGTTAGTTGGAACTAAGTTAGGTTAGTTGGAACTAAGTTAGGTTAGTTGGAACTAAGTTAGTTGGAACTAAGTTAGTTGGAACTAAGTTAGGTTAGTTGGAACTAAGTTAGGTTAGTTGGAGCTAAGTTAGTTGGAACTAAGTTAGTTGGAACTAAGTTAGGTTAGTTGGAGCTAAGTTAGTTGGAACTAAGTTAGTTGGAACTAAGTTAGTTGGAACTAAGTTAGGTTAGTTGGAACTAAGTTAGGTTAGTTGGAACTAAGTTAGGTTAGTTGGAACTAAGTTAGTTGGAACTAAGTTAGGTTAGTTGGAACTAAGTTAGGTTAGTTGGAACTAAGTTAGTTGGAACTAAGTTAGTTGGAACTAAGTTAGGTTAGTTGGAACTAAGTTAGGTTAGTTGGAGCTAAGTTAGTTGGAACTAAGTTAGTTGGAACTAAGTTAGGTTAGTTGGAGCTAAGTTGGTTGGAACTAAGTTAGTTGGAACTAAGTTAGTTGGAACTAAGTTAGTTGGAACTAAGTTAGGTTAGTTGGAACTAAGTTAGGTTAGTTGGAACTAAGTTAGTTGGAACTATGTTAGTTGGAACTAAGTTAGTTGGAACTAAGTTAGGTTAGTTGGAACTAAGTTAGTTGGAACTAAGTTAGGTTAGTTGGAACTAAGTTAGTTGGAACTAAGTTAAGTTAGGTGACTAGGTGAGACTTGCATCCAGAGGATTATCAGTAAATACGACAAGAACTTTAATATATCGCAAAGTAAAGATAACGTTGTAATTCTTATTATTTCCAATTATTATAACTTATATAATTTAAATTTTGCTCATAATAAGATGTTATCGAGCTGAAATAACTATTATACAGGATTAGAGATATCAACTCCCCCCCCCCCTTAGAGAAGTAACAAGCCGAGGGGCTGAACAGTCGAATTCATTGTTAGTAACATTTTAACCATTTACGAAACCATTCGCATTAATCACTATCACCTAAGAACCATTATCTCTTGTGTGTTCATTAACATGACCTCTGACGTGACTAATGTTGGCATGCAGCCCGTCCTCCAAACAAAGATCCAAAAGTGATTCCATCCACCCGCCAAACCCCCTGTTTATGAATGAAAAGCGGTTTACACACGACTCACAACTGATTTCGTTCGAACACTTCCGGAACAAGTGCTTCACTGACGAATTTTGTTCGAATCACAAGCTATAAATGCTTCATCCACGTACTACACATACAAATAATCGCCAACAGAACCTAAACACCTAATCTAACCTAACCTATGCCTATATATACACAATATGCTAATATATTATAATATTAATTTATACTTGAGAAAATTCCCGTTTTGAATGAACAGCATGTTAAGATTTATGAATGCGTCTGTGGGGTCGACCGCTGGATGTAATGGACTTGAGTCGAGGACGGGTTGGTTATGAGTGAACATGATCTTAGTCAACATTAAATAACACATCTTAGAAATTTTCGCTATAGCTAAAAAAAATTATATGTGTTTATTGTGGGTCTCAATATGTTTCAGCTGAGGGTTAATGGAGTGATAAATAACATTGAACGAATATAAAGAAACATGAAACGAGAAAAAAAACAATGTTACATATATTTTATGGGCGTATTAAAAAAAAAAAACATTTAAAACAGGAAATCCCAAATATATTCATATTTGTTTATGGGGATAAAAGCAATTTTTTGTGGGATAAAGAATATTTGTATTAAACTATTATTTTGTTATGTTGTGGTTAGTTTATCTCACATCATGTTGCTACATTATGTTGTTACACTATGTGGCTACAACCATGTTGCCACACCATGTTGCTACCCCATGGTAACTTGGTGTGGTCAAACCTAGAACAACATTGGATGGTCTGACATTGAGCAACATGGTGTATACCACATTCCAGCAACATACATACTACATACGAGCAACATGATATATACCACGTACCAGCAACATGGTATATACCACATACCAGCAACATGATATATACCACATATCAGCAACATACATACTTCATACGAGCAACATGATATATACCACATGATACCAGCAACATGGTATATACCACATACCAGCAACATGGTATATACCACATACCAGCAACATGATATATACCAACTTCATACGAGCAGCAACATATACCACATACCAGCATACTACCACATATCAGCAACAACATACTACATACGAGCAACATGATATATACCACATACCAGCAACATGGTATATACCACATACCAGCAACATATACCACATACCAGCCAACATGGTACATATACTAACCATCAGCTGACCAACTACCAGGTTTCTCCTGCACAAACACATGAGCCTACGGCCAGGGGGGGGGGGGGGGGAGGAGGGCCATGTGGTCATGTGGTCCAGGAGAGCAGGTGACTAACCTCAGCTGTGGCACCTGTTAAGAGCACCGTGAGTGCCACCTGAGTGCCACCTGAGTGCCAAACACCTGTTAAGTATTTATACATGTGGGGGGGGGGCACGTCTGTCTGTCTGTCTGTCTGTCTGTCTGTCTGTCTGTCTGTCTGTCTGTCTGTCTGTCTGCCTGTCTGTCTGTCTGTCTGTCTGTCTGTCTGTCTGTCTGTCTGTCTGTCTGTCTGTCTGTCTGTCTGTCTGCCTGTCTGTCTGTCTGTCTGTCTGTCTGTCTGTCTGTCTGTCTGTCTGTCTGTCTGTCTGTCTGTCTGTCTGTCTGTCTGTCTGTCAGCCTGTCTGTCTGTCTGTCTGTCTGTCTGTCTGTCTGTCTGTCTGTCTGTCTGTCTGTCTGTCTGTCTGTCTGTCTGTCTGTCTGTCTGTCTGTCTGTCTCTCTGTCTCTCTGTCTCTCTGTCTGTCTGTCTGTCTGTCTGTCTGTCTGTCTGTCTGTCTGTCTGTCTGTCTGTCTGTCTGTCTGTCTGTCTGTCTGTCTGTCTGTCTGTCTGTCTGTCTGTCTGTCTGTCTGTCTGTCTGTCTGTCTGTCTGTCTGTCTGTCTGTCTCAGAACATTCTCAAGCAGCTGTCAACAGTCGTCTCATACAGTCGACCCGCTCATTTGTAAACAAAGGTGGTAACGATGTTTCGTACGGTGCTGGAGCTAATGACGACGTTTCGTACGGTGCTGGAGCTAATGACGACGTTTCGTACGGTGCTGGAGCTAATGACGACGTTTCGTACGGTGCTGGAGCTAATGACGACGTTTCGTACGGTGCTGGAGCTAATGACGACGTTTCGTACAGTGCTGGAGCTAATGACGACGTTTCGTACGGTGCTGGAGCTAATGACGACGTTTCGTACAGTGCTGGAGCTAATGACGACGTTTCGTACGGTGCTGGAGCTATTGACGACGTTTCGTACAGTGCTGGAGCTAATGACGACGTTTCGTACGGTGCTGGAGCTAATGACGACGTTTCGTACGGTGCTGGAGCTAATGACGACGTTTCGTACGGTGCTGGAGCTAAAGACGACGTTTCGTACGGTGCTGGAGCTAATGACGATGTTTCGTACGGTGCTGGAGCTAAAGACGACGTTTCGTACAGTGCTGGATCAAATAACGACGTTTCGGTTTGTCTTGGATCAAAGACGACGTTTAGGACGGTCTTGGACCAAATGATGTTTCGGCCGGTTCTATTATAACTGTTTCGGCCCGTCTTGAAAAATTACGATGTTTCGATCCATCTTAGACCAAATGACCACGGTCGGCCTGTCCTGCACCAAATGATGTTTCGGACAGTCCAGAATCAGGACCTATAGCTCACGGTAAGCCTTACCCTACTAGTTTTACACAGGAGGGTACAGGAGCAGACGACTGCTGACTCCTGTTAGCAGGCTGAGAGCTTTCCCTTCCCATAGCTCATGGTAAGCCTTACCCTACTAGTTTTACACAGGAGGGTACAGGAGCAGACGACTACAGGAGCTTTCCCTTCCCAGACGACACAGGAGGGTGCTGACTCCTGTTAGCAGGCTGAGAGCTTTCCCTTCCCATAGCTCATGGTAAGCCTTACCCTACTAGTTTTACACAGGAGGGTACAGGAGCAGACGACTGCTGAAGCTCCTGTTAGCAGGCTGAGAGCTTTCCCTTCCCATAGCTCATGGTAAGCCTTACCCTACTAGTTTTACACAGGAGGGTACAGGAGCAGACGACTGCTGACTCCTGTTAGCAGGCTGAGAGCTTTCCCTTCCCATAGCTCATGGTAAGCCTTACCCTACTAGTTTTACACAGGAGGGTACAGGAGCAGACGACTGCTGACTCCTGTTAGCAGGCTGAGAGCTTTCCCTTCCCATAGCTCATGGTAAGCCTTACCCTACTAGTTTTACACAGGAGGGTACAGGAGCAGACGACTGCTGACTCCTGTTAGCAGGCTGAGAGCTTTCCCTTCCCATAGCTCATGGTAAGCCTTACCCTACTAGTTTTACACAGGAGGGTACAGGAGCAGACGACTGCTGACTCCTGTTAGCAGGCTGAGAGCTTTCCCTTCCCATAGCTCATGGTAAGCCTTACCCTACTAGTTTTACACAGGAGGGTACAGGAGCAGACGACTGCTGACTCCTGTTAGCAGGCTGAGAGCTTTCCCTTCCCATAGCTCATGGTAAGCCTTACCCTACTAGTTTTACACAGGAGGGTACAGGAGCAGACGACTGCTGACTCCTGTTAGCAGGCTGAGAGCTTTCCCTTCCCATAGCTCATGGTAAGCCTTACCCTACTAGTTTTACACAGGAGGGTACAGGAGCAGACGACTGCTGACTCCTGTTAGCAGGCTGAGAGCTTTCCCTTCCCATAGCTCATGGTAAGCCTTACCCTACTAGTTTTACACAGGAGGGTACAGGAGCAGACGACTGCTGACTCCTGTTAGCTGGCTGAGAGCTTTCCCTTCCCATAGCTCATGGTAAGCCTTACCCTACTAGTTTTACACAGGAGGGTACAGGAGCAGACGACTGCTGACTCCTGTTAGCAGGCTGAGAGCTTTCCCTTCCCATAGCTCATGGTAAGCCTTACCCTACTAGTTTTACACAGGAGGGTACAGGAGCAGACGACTGCTGACTCCTGTTAGCTGGCTGAGAGCTTTCCCTTCCCATAGCTCATGGTAAGCCTTACCCTACTAGTTTTACACAGGAGGGTACAGGAGCAGACGACTGCTGACTCCTGTTAGCAGGCTGAGAGCTTTCCCTTCCCATAGCTCATGGTAAGCCTTACCCTACTAGTTTTACACAGGAGGGTACAGGAGCAGACGACTGCTGACTCCTGTTAGCTGGCTGAGAGCTTTCCCTTCCCATAGCTCATGGTAAGCCTTACCCTACTAGTTTTACACAGGAGGGTACAGGAGCAGACGACTGCTGACTCCTGTTAGCAGGCTGAGAGCTTTCCCTTCCCATAGCTCATGGTAAGCCTTACCCTACTAGTTTTACACAGGAGGGTACAGGAGCAGACGACTGCTGACTCCTGTTAGCTGGCTGAGAGCTTTCCCTTCCCATAGCTCATGGTAAGCCTTACCCTACTAGTTTTACACAGGAGGGTACAGGAGCAGACGACTGCTGACTCCTGTTAGCAGGCTGAGAGCTTTCCCTTCCCATAGCTCATGGTAAGCCTTACCCTACTAGTTTTACACAGGAGGGTACAGGAGCAGACGACTGCTGACTCCTGTTAGCAGGCTGAGAGCTTTCCCTTCCCATAGCTCATGGTAAGCCTTACCCTACTAGTTTTACACAGGAGGGTACAGGAGCAGACGACTGCTGACTCCTGTTAGCAGGCTGAGAGCTTTCCCTTCCCATAGCTCATGGTAAGCCTTACCCTACTAGTTTTACACAGGAGGGTACAGGAGCAGACGACTGCTGACTCCTGTTAGCTGGCTGAGAGCTTTCCCTTCCCATAGCTCATGGTAAGCCTTACCCTACTAGTTTTACACAGGAGGGTACAGGAGCAGACGACTGCTGACTCCTGTTAGCTGGCTGAGAGCTTTCCCTTCCCATAGCTCATGGTAAGCCTTACCCTACTAGTTTTACACAGGAGGGTACAGGAGCAGACGACTGCTGACTCCTGTTAGCTGGCTGAGAGCTTTCCCTTCCCATAGCTCATGGTAAGCCTTACCCTACTAGTTTTACACAGGAGGGTACAGGAGCAGACGACTGCTGACTCCTGTTAGCTGGCTGAGAGCTTTCCCTTCCCATAGCTCATGGTAAGCCTTACCCTACTAGTTTTACACAGGAGGGTACAGGAGCAGACGACTGCTGACTCCTGTTAGCTGGCTGAGAGCTTTCCCTTCCCATAGCTCATGGTAAGCCTTACCCTACTAGTTTTACACAGGAGGGTACAGGAGCAGACGACTGCTGACTCCTGTTAGCTGGCTGAGAGCTTTCCCTTCCCATAGCTCATGGTAAGCCTTACCCTACTAGTTTTACACAGGAGGGTACAGGAGCAGACGACTGCTGACTCCTGTTAGCTGGCTGAGAGCTTTCCCTTCCCATAGCTCATGGTAAGCCTTACCCTACTAGTTTTACACAGGAGGGTACAGGAGCAGACGACTGCTGACTCCTGTTAGCTGGCTGAGAGCTTTCCCTTCCCATAGCTCATGGTAAGCCTTACCCTACTAGTTTTACACAGGAGGGTACAGGAGCAGACGACTGCTGACTCCTGTTAGCAGGCTGAGAGCTTTCCCTTCCCATAGCTCATGGTAAGCCTTACCCTACTAGTTTTACACAGGAGGGTACAGGAGCAGACGACTGCTGACTCCTGTTAGCTGGCTGAGAGCTTTCCCTTCCCATAGCTCATGGTAAGCCTTACCCTACTAGTTTTACACAGGAGGGTACAGGAGCAGACGACTGCTGACTCCTGTTAGCTGGCTGAGAGCTTTCCCTTCCCATAGCTCATGGTAAGCCTTACCCTACTAGTTTTACACAGGAGGGTACAGGAGCAGACGACTGCTGACTCCTGTTAGCTGGCTGAGAGCTTTCCCTTCCCATAGCTCATGGTAAGCCTTACCCTACTAGTTTTACACAGGAGGGTACAGGAGCAGACGACTGCTGACTCCTGTTAGCTGGCTGAGAGCTTTCCCTTCCCATAGCTCATGGTAAGCCTTACCCTACTAGTTTTACACAGGAGGGTACAGGAGCAGACGACTGCTGACTCCTGTTAGCTGGCTGAGAGCTTTCCCTTCCCATAGCTCATGGTAAGCCTTACCCTACTAGTTTTACACAGGAGGGTACAGGAGCAGACGACTGCTGACTCCTGTTAGCAGGCTGAGAGCTTTCCCTTCCCATAGCTCATGGTAAGCCTTACCCTACTAGTTTTACACAGGAGGGTACAGGAGCAGACGACTGCTGACTCCTGTTAGCTGGCTGAGAGCTTTCCCTTCCCATAGCTCATGGTAAGCCTTACCCTACTAGTTTTACACAGGAGGGTACAGGAGCAGACGACTGCTGACTCCTGTTAGCTGGCTGAGAGCTTTCCCTTCCCATAGCTCATGGTAAGCCTTACCCTACTAGTTTTACACAGGAGGGTACAGGAGCAGACGACTGCTGACTCCTGTTAGCTGGCTGAGAGCTTTCCCTTCCCATAGCTCATGGTAAGCCTTACCCTACTAGTTTTACACAGGAGGGTACAGGAGCAGACGACTGCTGACTCCTGTTAGCTGGCTGAGAGCTTTCCCTTCCCATAGCTCATGGTAAGCCTTACCCTACTAGTTTTACACAGGAGGGTACAGGAGCAGACGACTGCTGACTCCTGTTAGCTGGCTGAGAGCTTTCCCTTCCCATAGCTCATGGTAAGCCTTACCCTACTAGTTTTACACAGGAGGGTACAGGAGCAGACGACTGCTGACTCCTGTTAGCTGGCTGAGAGCTTTCCCTTCCCATAGCTCATGGTAAGCCTTACCCTACTAGTTTTACACAGGAGGGTACAGGAGCAGACGACTGCTGACTCCTGTTAGCTGGCTGAGAGCTTTCCCTTCCCATAGCTCATGGTAAGCCTTACCCTACTAGTTTTACACAGGAGGGTACAGGAGCAGACGACTGCTGACTCCTGTTAGCTGGCTGAGAGCTTTCCCTTCCCATAGCTCATGGTAAGCCTTACCCTACTAGTTTTACACAGGAGGGTACAGGAGCAGACGACTGCTGACTCCTGTTAGCTGGCTGAGAGCTTTCCCTTCCCATAGCTCATGGTAAGCCTTACCCTACTAGTTTTACACAGGAGGGTACAGGAGCAGACGACTGCTGACTCCTGTTAGCTGGCTGAGAGCTTTCCCTTCCCATAGCTCATGGTAAGCCTTACCCTACTAGTTTTACACAGGAGGGTACAGGAGCAGACGACTGCTGACTCCTGTTAGCTGGCTGAGAGCTTTCCCTTCCCATAGCTCATGGTAAGCCTTACCCTACTAGTTTTACACAGGAGGGTACAGGAGCAGACGACTGCTGACTCCTGTTAGCTGGCTGAGAGCTTTCCCTTCCCATAGCTCATGGTAAGCCTTACCCTACTAGTTTTACACAGGAGGGTACAGGAGCAGACGACTGCTGACTCCTGTTAGCTGGCTGAGAGCTTTCCCTTCCCATAGCTCATGGTAAGCCTTACCCTA